TTTTAAGAGTGATTGTAATTTGTCTCAGTTATTAAAATAAGTGGTGACATTTCTTTATTTTTTTAAATAATTTAATACCAAATGCTTCTAATGCTAGTTTTATGTTAAAATAAACATTTGGATAAAATTGTCAGTTTTTTTTTTCCAATTTTTGTTTATTGAGTTTGGTCTTAAATTTAATTTTAAATGGCATTAGAGGTCTTAAAAAGTCTTAAGTTTACTTAAGCTGTAGGAACCCTGCTTTTCCAGCCTTTTGTTGCCCCTGGAACAACTTTTTTTTAGATAKTTAGTTCAGCTTTAAAAAAACGTCCCAACTTTTTCCAGAATCGTAAGCTTGACTGACCTTGTTCTCGTGTTGTTCACTAACACGTCCAGCAGCATGAGTGTCGTTTCATGCACACTGCGAGGCAGCTTTGTGTTTTACTTGCAGCAAATCATGTGGTTTTTCTGAACTTCCCTCTGCTCCTTCCCTCCTTTCATGGAACTCAGGAGTCAGGAGGAGCTGTTTGTTCTTCTGTAAGTGACCTGAGAGCTGAACGTGACGAACGAGTTCATTCTTTATATTCCAACTKCTTTCTTCTGTTTTCATCGTTTCATTTATTGTTGCAAGAAATGCCTGTTGGTGCATTAATTCACTAACTGCAGCTTATTTAYTGTTTGCTCTTCATTTAACAAGCTGACACGTTTTTGGTTCCCTGGCTCTCGCTGCTTCTGCTACAGCTGCTCTTTTTGTGTCATTTTTCTGTTAAATTATTTTTCTGTCCTTCAGCCCAAGCTCCTCGTCCACGCCGGCATCTACAGATCCGGGGGCTCCGCMGTCCGTGACCCACAGCCAGGCCGGGTCCCGCTCAGCTCCTGCAGCGGTGGCCAGAGGAGGCCGAGGGTTCTGGCTGTGGTTAGCTCTGATAGTGGTGTTAGCAGGTTAGCTCTTCTTACTTCAAATACAATCAGCTGTTCTGATAGATGTTTGTAACCTTCACTGAGCTGGACAGTGCTGAACGTATCCAAACCAACGTTGTAGTTCTGGATTTTTCATTATAGTTTAGTTTTATTTCATTGTGACTTTTTTCTTTTAGTTCAGTTTTAATTAGTTTTTACTGTGGATTTGATCGTTTTTATTAGTTATTCTTGCATTTTTAATGCTTAGTTTTAGTAT